CTCCTTGTCGCCGGCCAGGCCCCGGGCCCGCGGCTCCGACCCGTAGTACTCCTCTTCGTCGCCGTCGCCGTCCCGGGTCGAGCAGCCGGCGAAGGGCGCCCAGCCGCAGCCGCCTCCCCCGCCCCCCCGGGGCTGCGGCTCGGCCCGGGGCCGCCCCCCGCCCGTCAGCACCAGCAGCTTCAGCTCGTTCAGGAACATGCGGAGCCGAGACTTGAGCATCGTCCGGGCGCCGGGAGGGGGGGGGGCGGGAGGCGGCGTGCAAGGGGGTCTCTCGGGCGGCGGGGGGAAGGGAGAGGACAAGGCCGGGAAGGGGGCGCGCGCAGGAGAGCCGAGCCGGGCCGGGGTCTTCGGGGCCTGAGAGCGCAGTTCACTGCTGCCACAGCCGGGGTTCCGGGGCTTTCGGGGCCGAGAGGGCTGGCGGCCCGGGGGCGGCGGGGCGGGCAGCCATGGCCGGGGCAGGGGGCGGGGAGGGGGGCTCAAGGTGCCGCGCCCCGCGGGTCCGGGTCTGGAGCGGGCCGGGCTCCCGGGGTTACGCGCCCCGGGCCTCCTGCGGCGGGGCCGCCCCCCATCGCCGTCCAGCTGGCTCCAGCCCCGCTCGGGTTCCCGGCTCCGGCTCGGCTCGGCCCGTGCGCTCGGCGGTGGCAAATGGCGGCTCCTTCCGGCGGCGGCGGCGGCGGAGACCCCCCCGGAGCGGCGGGCGGGCGGGGCGGGCGGGGCGGGAGCCGGGGAGCCGGTGAGGGATGGAGGGAGGGGTGGGGCGGGGAGCGGGAGAGAAGTGGCCGCGGCTGCGCATCCCCGCCCTGCCCCGCACGAGCAGGTGTCCCCAGAGGCGGGGGCGAGTGTGCGAGCCCGGGGGAGGGTGGAGGGAGGGGAGTGGCCAAGGAAGGGGAGTGTGCACACGGGTAGGAGAATAGGTGTGTTAATGGGGGTCGGGTGCTGGTGAGCGAGTGAGGAAGCAAGGTGAGTGGTCAAAGACGCAGGTGCACCCGGGAGGGAGAAGCTTGTGCAAGATAGGAGTGTGCAAAGAAAGAGCTATGCAAGTGTCTGAGGTGTGAGGAAGGTGAACAAGAGATGGACTCAAGCAATAAACACTTTTACACAAAAGACGGGAGTGTGCATGGTGTGGGGCAGTGGAAAACATATTAGTAAGAGATGCATTTGGATGGTATGAGAAACAGAAGTGTGTAATTGTAACGTGTGAGGAGGTGAGTGAGGAAGAGAGACAAGAGTACTAAAGGGATTAAAGTGTCTTTCCTGGTACTCTCCTGCCCCACAACACTACACTGAAGTGAATACTACAAGCACAGGCGCGCGCGCGCGCGCGCGCACGCACACACACACACACACACACACACACACACAGCTCTTTGCTTTTGCTTTTATGGAGGCCTTGACCCTGAGAACCAGTTCTACCCTCTCATCACATCATTTCTGCTTTACACTTACATCTCCCCTCTCCAACGCTGAGGGAAAAGGGATTCCAGGGGAGCCCATTGGGTCAAACGCACTGGAAAAAAAATTAATTAGCAAAAGAGTAATTAACAGGAGAAGAGAGGGTATGGAACCAGAGACAGACTGCCAAACTAAGTCTCCTCAATAAAAGTGATTAAGGAGAGTAATGCTTTTATGAAGCATTCAAATGCTTTGCATGGATGAATGCATGAATCAGAAAGGGGGCTGGAACCCAAGGCAACCTAGAGGATGACTTCTATTCTAAAGACAGTAAGCTGTGGAAGGTGAAGCTGAAGTGGACCCTGCCGGCGTAGGAAAGAAATTCGACACACTCAGAGACACTTTGTCTGCCAGAAGGTTTATGAACCAACCAGTCCCGGCAAGGTAGCCAATAAAACATTCCCCTCCGAAGCCCCTTACCCAATTCAGACCTTGAGGACTTTCTTTCCTGTGTCCCAGCTGCCCTTGCCAGCAAGGGCCCAGAGCTACAACTACCAGAATGCAAAGAGGGGGAATCTGTACTGACCTGTATTCCATTTTGCCCTGGAGCATAGTTTATATTCATCTCAAGCCTGAACTCTTACATCCTCTGCAGGTTGGTTGAGGAGAATAGAAGTTAAGATGGAAAGAGTGGCAAACAGAGTTATAAAATGGTTTCAGATTTTAGACAATTTCTCACAAATGAGACACTGATCCCTTCCCTCCTTATTCCCATTCCCCTGAAGAGTTAGGAGATAAATAAGGAAGTTAGAGCCAGTAAGACAAGGAAAGTCAGAGAAACCTGTCTGTTGTCTACCTAGGTGTCTGCGAATAGAGGCCATTTGGAAAAGTCTGTGTTCTGGGTGGGAGCAAGGGCTAAGAAAACTTGCACTGGGGAAAAGAGAGAAGCAGAATGACCCCAAACAAGGAGTCACAAGGTTTGTAGACAAGCACAAATCATTCTCATGCAATGCAGTGGTCTAAGGTGGTGGTAGTGGTGACTCCTTCACACATGCCCACTGCTGTATCTATATAAAATGTATAAAATGTATACATATGTATACACATATACAAACACATATATATCCTAGCATCTTAGTGCTTGAAAGAACCTTAAAGTTTAAACATTCCTGTCTCTTGCTCATTGATAACTTATCTGCCAGAAAGCACTCCCAATTTTAACACTTCCAAGAAAGGGTAGAAGTTGGGAGGAGAGGAGGGCATTACCTTGCCACTCTTCCTGTTGGATCACTGCATTAATCTGTCTTCCATCAATTATTTAACCCTAGTTTTGCCCTCGGATGGGTATTGTCTACTCTGTTTTATACGACCACACTGTTGGCTACATCTTTACAGACAGCCTCATCATTACTTTAAAGGGCTAGTGACTGAGACACCAAAAAAACCCACACACAAACAAAAACCCTGCATACACACACAGGAAGCAAGCACTCAGTAAAAATTTGTTGAATGAGTGAATGAATGAAACAAAGCCGCAAATGGGAGTATGTTTTACGTTGGCTTCAAAGCAGAAAGGCGACCGCGCCACGTCTCGCCCCCTCCCCGCCAGACCACCATATAGTGAGATGTGCAGTGAGACTGGAGAAGTGCTCAGGCTCGGCCTGCAGCCCTGAGTTGGGAGCTGGGTGGCCCAGGTTGCCATGGCACCGCATTGGACTCCACCCTCTCTTGTCTTCCTCTCACCCTCCCCCCCGCCAGGGTCTGGCAGTCAGTCACGTGCCCTGCCGCGTAACCACACCTCTGCTCCTCAGAGCTAAGTCAAGCGGTCACGTGTGATAGCAACAGATCACGTGGCTGCCATTGCTCCTCCGCCCCTTTCTCCTCCCCGCCCCCTTCCCGGTCAAAGCCTCTCCTGGCTGCTCCTCTGCGCATGAGTGTCTCGTACGTGCCCCGAACGTCCGGCGTTCGCCCCGCCCCTCCAGTTTCCGCGCGCCTCTTTGGCAGCTGGTCACATGGTGAGGGTGGGGGTAAGGGGGCCGCTCTAGCTTGCGGGCTGTGTCTATGGTCGGGCCCGTAGCGTCCAGCTGCACCGGACAGAGCTCGAGTGTATGGCGCCTCAGGATCTGGCTCCGGGGCCCCGATAACGGGCCGCCCCCGCAGCTCCCGGCACGGAGTGAGGTAAGTATAGACCCTTCCCAGGAATGGGGACCATTTTCGTCCTGCACGGCTTCCTACCCGAGCAAGTTATGGAAGGATGGCTCGAGGGCGGGAAGTGGGGCAGGGTGTAATTTGTTCCTTTGTGGTCATATGGAGGTGTCATTTTAGGGACTGGATGTCGGATCTTCGACGCAGGGGGTGTGTCGTGTGAGATCAACCTTGTGCGGGGCGCGATGATCTGTCCCAAAGGAAGAGGAATTTTCTATTTTAGGGCTTCACGTGGCTGGAGGGGTTGGAGTTAGGGTCATTGTGTTACCTGAGGGGCCAGCCTCGTGGAAGATTGGAGAAGGGACGGGATGCTGATGTGGTGTCTTTGTAATGTCTTTTGTGGGAGTCACTTTATTGCTGCAGGCTTACACCATCTGAACTTTGGAAGGGATTTTCAGTGGCAGGAATCTCTGTGATTGTAGGGTCTCCTCTGATCTGAGAATGGCCACTCCTCGATATGAGCCAGTGGCCGAGATTGGTGTTGGTGCTTATGGAACCGTGTACAAGGCCCGTGATCCCCACAGTGGCCACTTTGTGGCCCTCAAGAGTGTGAGAGTCCCTAACGGAGGAGGTGCTAGCGGGGGCCTTCCCATCAGCACAGTTCGTGAGGTGGCCTTACTGAGGCGGCTGGAGGCTTTTGAACATCCTAATGTTGTCCGGTAAGAAGAGGTGGAGGGTTGGGAGTGGGTAGTAAAGGGGAAAAGGTAACCTAAAGGTGGGGAGTGATGGTCAGAAGGGAAGTGGGGACCCTGAGGAAATAGGGGAGGCCATTGGGTACAAAGGGATTGATCAGTGAGTGACCATTTGTTCTGGCCAGGCTGATGGATGTCTGTGCCACTGCCCGAACTGACCGAGAGACCAAAGTGACCCTGGTGTTTGAGCATGTGGACCAAGACCTAAGGACATATCTGGACAAGGCACCCCCACCAGGCTTGCCAGTGGAGACTATCAAGGTGGGTAGGGTGGGTAGACACTGAGAGGTACATCGAGACCTTTGTGGTAGAACCTGTTGTGATTTCAGGTATGGTGTCTAGTTTCCAGTTCCTGTGTGTTTCCCCCTTCCAAACTAGGATCTGATGCGCCAGTTTCTAAGAGGCCTAGATTTCCTCCATGCCAACTGCATTGTTCATCGAGATCTGAAGCCAGAGAACATTCTGGTGACAAGTGGTGGGACAGTCAAGCTGGCTGACTTTGGCCTGGCCAGAATCTACAGCTATCAGATGGCACTTACACCTGTGGTCAGTAGAAAGGTGGGGGTAGGGGAGTGGCTGACCATAGCAATTGAGAAGTCATGTGTTTTGTGACTTTAATTAACCAGTTGTGGTTCATGGTAACCCATACAATCCTCATCCGCTTTTCTTATTCCCATTAGGTTGTTACACTCTGGTACCGTGCTCCGGAAGTTCTTCTGCAGTCTACGTACGCAACACCTGTGGACATGTGGAGCGTTGGCTGTATCTTCGCAGAGATGTTTCGTCGCAAGTATGAGACCCAAGTATCCTGAACTATCTTGAGTTTCCCAAATCTCTTAGTCATAAACTGCATCCACTCCCTGCCCATTGTTTCACTTAAGTACTCTTGACCATTTTGTCCCTAACCAGGAACTCTCAAATGGCCTGGAATTAGGAACTTCATAGCCCCATATTCTCTATACCCTCTGTTTTGAGCCACTAGCAATAATTATTCCACTACCAGATCTTTGAAAATGACTGCTCCCTGTGTCCTTTCTCACCTTAGGCCTCTCTTCTGTGGAAACTCTGAAGCTGACCAGTTAGGCAAAATCTTTGAGTAAGTGACCAGCATGGGGGAAAAGAATTTTCCATTCTGAATCTTTCTGCTAAGCCCTGGATGGCAACTGGCTCTGCCCCTGGAAATGGAGGCTGGAGAAGGACCCTCTTGACCAGAGTTCTCCTGCTCCTCATAGCCTGATCGGGCTGCCCCCAGAGGATGACTGGCCCCGAGATGTGTCTCTGCCCCGAGGAGCCTTTTCCCCCAGAGGACCCCGTCCAGTGCAGTCAGTGGTACCTGAGTTGGAGGAGTCTGGAGCACAGCTGCTGCTGGTACTGGGCTTGCGTGTGGGCACGGGCACAAGGGGAGGTTGGGGAGGAATACAGAGCAGTATAAAAGGGACTTAAACTGTCATGGCGACTAAGACTTGGTTGGAGGATGGGCTAGTTTTTAATGTTGCCGTGAATAGGCCATCCAAAAGAGGGATGTAGAACATACGCCATCCTAGGTATTATTGGGGGTGAGCAAAAGTCTTTTTGTTTTATTTCATTTTATTTTTTTTTGTCTTCACGGTCTTTTGATTTTTGCCTCCACTTCTCAGGAGATGCTGACTTTTAACCCACACAAGCGAATCTCTGCCTTCCGAGCCCTGCAGCACTCTTATCTACAAAAGGCAGAAGGTAACCCAGAGTGAGTGGTGGAGTGGCTGCAACAGGACCAAGAGAAGAAAAGCCGTCGTCTCCCTTCCTTTGAACACTTAAGTGGAGAACCCTCCAACTGAGAAGGCGACCTCAGCTTCATCTCTGAGGCTATGGAAACTCCTCCCAGCTCTCCAGAGAGTATTTTGCTGCCTTAATGACATTCCCCTCCCATCCCATCCCTCCTTTTGAAGCTTATCCTTCCCCTGCCCCTCCCCCCCCCCCGATTTCCATACACCAAGGGGTATCTTCCTTGTTTTCCCCCTTCCTATCTTGATATTGGGATCTTTTTTTATACAGAAAAAACAAAACAAAACAAAGAAATACGGTCTTTTTTTTTTTAAATATTTCATCTTCTGATGGGCTTTGCCATTTGGGGATTTGGAAAAACCATTTGGAAGATGGAACTTCACTATAGAATCTTGAAAGATTCTCCCCAGGTCAGTCACAGAGCCTATGTAGGCAGTGGAGCCCAACTGGCAAGAGAGAAAAAAAGGCACTTAAGTTGCTTCTTTGAATGTGGAGTTTAAATGGCTTTTATTTTTATATTCACTGAATTCCCCACACTGGGTCCTACTTATTGTAAGAAAGAGTTCTTGATGGTTTTTCCTGGCTGTCCCTGATTGACCCTTGGAGCCAGCCATGCCAAGATGTGTTGAGGTGGTCCAGCATGTGGAAGGGAAAAGAGGGGAAACAGAGCCAGGAAGGACTCCAATCCCCATCCCATTTCATGCACTCCTAGGAGCTTCCCATATCCACTTAGAGAGAGAGGAAGTTGCTCTTTATTCCTTATAATCTTGCTCCCCCTAAACATGTCAAGGCACACAGCCTGGCTGTTCAGTCATCTTTGGGGGATGTGACAAAGGGCCTTTCCTTTTTCTCAAAAAGGGCTATAGGCCCTAGGTTTTCCCTAAGGGCGGAAAAGCTTAGGGAGAACAGAGAGCAGGAGAGAAGTCAGAAGGATCCAGAGTCTCATAGAAAGGCACTGGGGTTAGCTCGAGGATCCTTCTGATTCCGAAATCGCATTGCTAGCCAAACACCAAGGATCTGTAAAAAGCAAAGGGAAAGAGATTATCACCAATTCTGAATCTCTGGAGCTAATACCTACAGGTATAGAGAAAGACTTACAGACACATAAGAGAGAAATGGAGAATGTTACCTCTGTAAAGCTAAAGAAGAGTCCAACACCCCCCAGGATTTTCAGGGCTTCGTCTGAATGCTTAAGAAACTTTTCTCCACACATCTGGCACGTGGAGCTCCGGCTCTTGCAGATCTGAGGGTAAAACGTGTGTGTGTGTGTGTGTGTGTGTGTGTGTGTGTGTGTGTGTAGGACGCACAGTTGCTAGGCTGCCCTATCCCAACACTAATGGTGAAGGGCCCCAGAAATTTTTACTAGTTTCTGATTATTCTCCTACAGACTGAAATCTCACTTGACTAATTCTCTATCCTTTGTATCCATCCCTTCCCCCCCCCAGCACACAGCAAGAGAGCTGCTAGAGAGAGACAATCCCATTCAAACTCTTAAATCTGCCAATTTGGGCATTGTCCTTAACCAGCTTTCCTACCAACACCGCCCCTCCCCCCAGCACAACTCACTGCAGTGCAGAAAGCATAGTCCTGTTGATACAGGGTTGTGAGGTTGAACAAGCCACAACAATCAAAACTTCTTTCCAGTTCATCCCGGGTCTTGTTGCTCATGACCCACCAAGACGCATTGATGACATCCGTCTGGAGAATATAGGCAGAGGGAAATTGGATGCTCCTACATCCTGACCTCAAATACCTCAATTTCCCTATTCCAGCAAAGGGAGTCAACATCCCTCAGAAATAAGGGTTTGTTATACAGAAAATGATAAAAATCCACCTCAGGTTTTGGAAAATACTGGAAAATTAGCCAGATTTCCCAGAGGAAGCAAATGGCTCAAGAGTCTGGAAGTGGGCCTACTAAGAGGTCCAGACTTAGGGTTGGGGAGTAAGGGAGAGGGGGAGAGGAGAGGGAGAGGGGAGAGGGAGGAAAAAAGCAAGTACTTGAAAGGGCATCCACTTACCTGTTTGCTTCGGTTAATAGCAAGACATGAGCAAGAGATCCCAAACTGGAAGATGAAGACCAAACCGAGGATGATCATGTACTGAGAGGAAGAGTTACAGGAAAAAAAAACAAAAAAAGGCCTAGATTCCTTTATGTTGCACCTACAATAACCATCTGATCTCACCTGTTCGCAGAACTTCTATAACCACGTTAGTTGAAAACAATAAAATCAGCTCTGGTTTCATAAAGTATGGTATAAGGCAGGGCAAGGAGACACGTCCCCAAGATCATTCAAGTCTACCCTTTCCAACATTCCTCCTAGCAGATTCAGCCCTCCCCAAAGCCCGGGTGCTCCCATCACTTAAGGTCAGGATACAAAGAATAGCAGTACTTGGTGGTGGTTGACAGCACCCACCAGTCCAGCCACCGCGATGAGAAGAAGGAAGACTCCCACAGCAATGACTCCTCCGATGATGTGGATGCTGGACACCAGACCCAGGCCCTTACCCCAAGCAGCCACTCCAATGAGCAACAAGCCTACCAGCTACAGGAAACAGAGCACGTTACATCTCAAAAGAATTCTAGCGTGCAGCACAGCCAAAAGCCTTAAAGGGAGTCTTGGACAAAGAAGAACTGGGCTTGCGTGAACGAAGGAGAGGAGGTGTATGCTCCCACTGGAGATCAGAATGACTGGGACAGGGGTGGGGGCAGCAGGCAGAGAGTCTATGCATATAAAAAGGAACCTGTAGTTTCATCCATTACTTCTATTTTGAGAGAAACAAAATCACAGGAGGGAGGAATTGGCCTTTATACCCACAGCCTTCAGTTCATTCCCCCCACCTCCACACAAACCCTCAGATCACCGGAAGTCTCCCCTCTTCCCACGGAAGTCCCCTGGAATTCCCTCTTCGCCGGAAGTTCCCGGGAATTTTCCCGGAACCCCCAGTACACCCCTCTTCCCACCGGAAGTCCCCTAGAGATTCTTCCCACTCCTCTTTCCGCCCTGAAGCTTCTCCCCCCCCCCCCCCCCTCCAAAACCTCACCATGTAGACCACGTTCAGCGCGCACAGCGCATTCTTGGAGCAGGCAAAGCCACCGCAAACCATCTCCCCAGCTTTGGGGACCCAAGTGGTCCCAAGGACTTGGGGGGAGGGTCTTGGGGACCGTCTTCTTGGACCCCGACAGCTTCTGTCTCTTTAAATCGAGTCCAGCCAAACCCAATTCTCTGCGCCTGCACCGTCCCACCCCTGCCTCTGGATTGGAGAAACTCGGGGCTAATCCAGGACGTCGATGGCCTGAATGCCAATCAGTCTGCATTGCGTCACTAATCCGCCTGCCGGCCCCTCCTTTAGGTTCTTTATTGGCTGAAACTTAAAACTGGGGGTAGGGCTTCCATAGATTCTCATAGGGACCAGAGCCTAAACTTCAAAACCCCGGATTGAAAGCGGAGCTTTCTGTGGCCGCAGCTGGAAGAGGGCTAATGCGAGGAAGGAGGCCCAGGAGAAACCCAGTGGAAGAGCGAGTAGGTGCGGCTTGGAGGGCAGGGCCCAAGGGCTCCTCCCCTCGAGGGAGCGCCCTTCACCGCCCCTTTCCCCTTGTCCTGCAGTGATCTCATGATGACGCCATTGTTGGTTGTTATTGCATCACACTCGAGAACACCCAGAGGAGCAAAACATCAAGCTATTTAGCCCGGCCACAGAAGCCCTGGGTTCGGCACAGCAACATCCAGCAAATCGTCACGCGTTTGCAGGTGTGTCCACTAGTACACATATCCTCTTCCATATCCCCTCGTAGCTGGGTGTGAATATGCTATAAATGCAGTGTGCAAAACAGCCGCCTCGGGCCAGAACATTTCTGTAGTGACAAAGCCACAAGGGCAGACATGAGTGTACTCGGTGTCTTCAGAACACATGCCTGATCCATGGCTTGCAAAAAAAAAAAAAAAAAAAAAAAAAAAAAAAAAAAAAAAGCCAAAGGGAGGGGTCTGGAATATGAATAAATATGAGAGGAAGGAGGAGTCTCCACATTTTCACTCTGAAGGTGGGCATAGAGGTTGATCAATATGCTTATTATTGAATAAATGCTTTTCACGGAGATGAGAAAAGGCATAATTCTTCTTTTCCAAGAGAAACAGTGGTAATGGGAACACAAACGAAAAACCTCCCTTCAACCCCACGGGATGATTTCAGTTTGTATGTACTTAGATTCTAGGACTGCATGAGCAGTAAATCTTAACTGCTACAGTCAGATTGCACGGGTTCCAACTTTGCCACTTACTGGCTGTGTAACCTTTGGCCCATTACTTAAGCTCTCTCTGCACGTTTCCTCATCTGTAAATGGGGATAAATAACAATACACGTGTCTCTTGGGTTGTTAGGAGAATTGAATGAGTTAATATATGCAGAATGCTTATGACATTACCTGGCATATAGTAAACACTCAATGTTCGCTATTATAATCACGCTGTTTTATAAGTTCCAGTAGGTAACCCCAACTCTGATTCCCTTGTCTCTATCTATACAATAAAGAATCCATAGTTATAATCTGCTATCCTTCACAAATTAATGTCAAGAAGGTATGCAGGCGAAGAGACATTTGGCAGGGCCAGAAAGGTTTGAGTCCTGAAGCAAAGCGATTAGATCAAACTAGCCACTGTTTTCTCTCAATATCTCCCCTGCGTCTTCATTCTGTTCTTCAGTTCCTCATCCACCCTCTTCTCTTTCAGGTCCTACATCAAGGGCAAGACAGTGGTATTAGGGATAAGGGAAACTGACTAGCAAGCATCTTGGTTGGGGGGTATAGTGAAAAGAGTATTGGGGTTATAATCAGAAGACCTAGACCCATGGGGCGCCTGGCTGGCTCAGTCAGTGGAACGTGCGGTGCTTGATCTCAGGGCCGTGAGTTCGAGCCCCATGTTGGGTGTAGAGATTACTTAAAAATAAAAACTTGAAAAAAGAAGGAGACCTAGACCCACAGATTTGTTTCACCTCACACTGGCCTCTCAGAGCTTCGATTTCCTTTCCTGCACCCCTGGGGCCTGTCATGAAGACAACATACTTGAAAGTGCGTCGTAAACTATTAAGTGTTATAGATAATTATTATGAAAGTAATTGAGCAGAGAGCCTGGTGGTTTTGTCTGGTTAGAATTACTGTTCTCCTCCGTAACCTGTTCTCCCCATAACTACTTGGCCTTTTAAAAGCTGCTTACCGTGGGGTGGCTGACTAAGGAAGGGTTATGGAGCAAACTGTAGGTATGCAGGCTCTTTGGATGTGTGGCGTGGGCGGTGGGTACAATCCTAAGCTGGAATGCAGGGCTGTAAGAGTGAGACCGAGTGTGTATGCGTTCCTGTCAGAGTTTGAGACTGAACACAAATCTGTTGGTCACCAAGAGTTTGGGATTGCACCCGGGGCCTGGCTTGCCACATTCTCCTAGCACCAACACCCATCTTAATTAGCTACCTCCCACAGGAGGCCCTAGGATCCTTGTTAAGGTCTCTCCATCCACCTGGCTGGGGGAATCATAGCAGGGGCTGGCTGGCAAAGTTGATGAGCCAACGCTAGAGGGGGTGGGAGGTGCAGGAGGTAGTGCTGTCCCGGGCTGTGGGTTTGAAACTCACCAGTCAGGAAGTGAGGCCGACAGACGGAAGGGCGGGCAGGAGCGGTGAGCTCTGAGGCACAGCAGAAGGGGCCTTCTGGGGTTTGGGGACTGCAGGGCCATGGGCTTCAGGACCAGAAGTTGCTGTTAGCCTGGCAAGACAGGTCTGGGCAACATGCATGCCCAGAGGCAGTTGGCTGTTGCTGCAGTGAGAGCAGAAGTCAGACGACACGAGGTGGCCAAGCAGTCTCTAAGCCGCCTCAGGAAGCTGGCAGAGAGGGTGGGCGACCCTGAACTTCGAAACAGCATCCAGGCCTCACTGGACAGTGTGCGAGGTAAGAGAAGGGTTAGCTCCAAACTTGGGTGTCTCGGGGACCAGCAGGGGGATAGAAGGGCTTGCTGTGTCACACGTCACTTCCCAATCAGCCACTTCCTAGTCCTCTAGATGGAGCTGGGACTCGGGGGAAGAATACATTTGGACACGATGGAAAAAGATATGGGAGGTGTCATTCTCCCTCTTTCCCCAATTCTGATCCTTCTCCCAGGGGATCAAAATACAAGTCACTGCTGAGCTGACCTTCTTGGCAATGGAGAAGTGGGTGAGCATGGGGAAGAGAGGCTGTGACAGACCCATGGTAGACTTGGACCCTGCCTGGGGAGTCCAGGGCAGGAAGCAGTATGGGGCAGGAGGTTCTGGGACTGGATAATGTGTCCATTCCCAGGACCCACAAAGGATCGGTGACCTCTTGTTCTCCAGCTGTAGAGAGAAACACACACACATTGAAAATACACCACGCAGAGAATCTCAGGCCCCCAGGCACACACTGCCACTCCTACTACATGCTTTGCACAGCTAAAGTGCAAAGAAGTCCCCAGGACTCTTTTCGGTCCCCTCTCTTCCCTATGCCCCTGTTCCTGTCCTCCCCACCACCCCCAGCACACACACCTTCCGCTCTACCTCCTTAGTGCCATTAGAACAAGTGATGACAACACAGGGAGGAAGTGCTGCCATGGCAACACCATCCGCCACATCCTCCTGCCCACCCCAACCTTCAATCCTGTGGTGGGGCCCCAGCAGGAACAGCTACTCCATATCCACAAGGCCCCACCACTAGGGAACTGGTGGAACTGAAAGTGGTCTCCAGCCTGTTGTCATCCCATTTACCTCTGAGGTGGCAAAGAACGACAAAAGCCAGCTATGTTGTCCGTGAAAGGTGTCTGGGAAGAGCACATCCTTCATCATATCCTGGTCTCTCCCAGCTGCTCCATTCTTAGCTGCCTACTTGGGGTGGAGGTGGGGGGTCGAGAGGCCATTCTTTCCATCAGGGATACCTCCTGCCGGACTTCTCTGACTGCAGAGGCCACCAGACCGTAACTTGGAGAAGGAACATTTGATTCGGGTTCCTTAGGGGACAGTCTGATCCCCTTCCCGTTGCCTTTCTGAGGCTAGTGCCCCTCTCATCTCCTGTCCCCCCCCCACCCTTTGCTGAGAACAACCACTGGCAGGTGCCTTACCTACAGCCTCAGTGGTGGAAAGACCACATGGAGGGAGTGGCCCCATGGGGCCTCCCAGGGGAGGAACTCCAAGCCCCATCCCAGTAGAAAAGAAAGAGGGGGAGGAAAAAGGTTTAGTCCAGGTAGAGAAGCTCCACTTAGCTCTGGAGACGGAGGAGTGAGGAGGGGTGGAGGCTGAAATCTCCCAGAAGACTCCGCTCTTCATTAGCGAGTTGTTCAACTCCTCTAAGAGTCAGGATTCTGTTCCCACTGAACATAAAGGAAAACTGAGGCCACCAAAGGAAGGAAGGAAAAATTAAGGCAGAATCAACAAAACTCCCTCACCCTCTCTTTCAGAAAAGGCTACTGAAGAGTCTCCTGTCCTGGGAATGGTGTCATCCCAGGGTGGGGTGGAGAGAGGGGGTGCTGACCTCAGGACTGGACCCAAGAGGGATTGGGTACAGGTCTCAGGGAGAACAAAGGGCATCCAGCATCCTGGTACCAGCCCCCCCTCACCCCCTACCAGGCCAAGCATGCTGTTGGCTCCTGCCTCCTAGAGCCGCCCACGCCAGCACTTATTATAGTCTCAGCTGCGTCAGGAGGGTGGGACGCCAAATTAGGGGAACACTGAGACTCCCCGAGTCAGGGGGGGGGTGAGGGGGGTGAAGGGGAGTGGGTTGGGGGGGTGTCTCCAAGCCTGTGGGAAGGCCTCCCACCACTCAGGCCCATCCCTGCCAAGTCTCATCAGCCTCTGTTCCCCATGGGCCTAACGCCTTCAGCCCTCTCCCCAGGGTAGAGGACAGTGAGTCGAACTCCAGGGTCCCTGGAAGGGTGGTAGACACAAAGCCGACAGACGTTTTCCATTCTATCTCCTCTTTAACCTTCTAAAAGAGCTCCACCTTGAAAACCTCAGGAGACTGAATGGGAACCCAAAAGATGCCGCCTCCCACCTCAACTGAAGGGGTCCTTGTATTCAGGGGTGCTAAAAACCTCACATGTGGGTAATCAGGTTTGAGGATGGTGCCTTCCTTAACCCCAGTCCCCTGGCAGATCCCCCCCACCCGCCATACACACCGATTCTCCTCTCTGCTTATCCCCGCTGATTCTGAGGCACTCTTGGAGCTACGGTTGCTATGGAGACTGGATGCATTTTGGTATGGGGGGGTGCCAATCTGTAGACATATTCCTTCTCCTTCCACCTCAAGCTGGAGCCTTTGACTCACTTTTTGGCCTGGGGTCCTGGGGCCCTTAGATCTCTCCCCTCCTAAGGCACCCCCCTCCTTCCTACCCTGCTAAATTCCATGTTTGTCCCCATCCCCAGGGAACACTTTACAAGTTCACTTTGGGACAGTTGGGCTCAAGTCGTGGCCCGACCAATGCATCGCCGTGCGGAGGGTGGGGGTGGGCGAGGCGGCTGGGTGATGGGGAAGGGAACAGCGTCAATTACCTGGGGGAGACAAGGGGTACTGGGAAAGGGATTTCAGGCCTCCCCATTTCCCTACTTCAACTTCCCCCAAATTGGCAGTGACCCCCTAAATTCGCTCCGTTTCCCCCTCGGACCGTCCACCCACGAACTGATTTTTTACCCTGGTCCCTAAATGACACACCCAACAGTCGCGCTCCCTAACCATGGTGTGCTAGGGGAGGGGGCTAGCTTGTTGGAGTAGGTGAGTCCAAGTTCTAGGAAATCCAGCCCAGGATTTGGGAGGGAAATCCAGTCCTGGATTTTGTACCGGCTTCTCAGACAGCGAAGCTGGTGGAGAGAAGGTTGGGGGGGAGATAGGGTGGGGGGGGCGGGGGGCCGCCTCCTCCTCAATGTGAGGGGAGCGCCCGGACACAGCGCGCATCCGGACCGAGCCGAGCCCCGGCGAGCCCCCCGGACCCTTCGCCGGGATCTCACGCCCCTTCCTTCCCAGACCCCAGACCCGTGGGTTCCCACCCCCTAAGGCTTCCCTCCTTCCTCCCCCGCCGGCGCCTGTATCTCCATCCCCAGCATCCTCCCCGCGCCCCTGCGAATCCCCCGCACGACCAGCCCATTAGCTTCCCACCTTCCTACAGACCCCCCTCCCCGACCCCCATCCCCGGCCCCTGTCCCCTGAGTCCCCATTCCCCGCCCCTGCCTCCCCCGCAGCGGCTCTTCTTCTTCCCCAGCCTCGGGTCCCCCTTTTCTGCCCCCTTTTCCTCCCTCTCCCCTATTTGCCCCCACTACTGTCCTCCCCGCCCTCCTCCGCCCATCTCGGCGCCCCCACCCAGGCCGGGGTGCAAGGTCCGGCGCGCCTCCCTGGAGCAGCACCAAGGTCCCGGGGCTCCAACGGGGTGGGGGCGCAGGGCGGGGAGCATGGGGAGGGGGCGCCCCGTGTGATGGGAGGGGGGCGCAAGCGGAGGCGGCGGAGGCGGCGGCGACAGCGGAGCCGGGCTGGGGGCTCAGCGGGGTCCGGGGGCTGGGGGCAGCGAGCAGGGCGGCCCCATGGCCGGGCCCCCCTGAGGCAGTCCGGGGGAGTCCCCTCCCCTCCCCAGCTCGGGGGTCTCGGGGCCCCATGAGCCGGGGCGCGGGCGCTCTTCAGCGCCGGACAACGACCTACCTCATCTCGCTGACCCTGGTCAAGCTCGAGTCGGTGCCTCCGCCGCCGCCTTCTCCGTCTGCGGCCGCAGCCGGCGCCCCGGGGACCAGAGGTGCCGAGACCGGGGATCCTGGCAGCCCCCGAGGCGCGGAGGAGCCGGGCAAGAAGCGGCACGAGCGTCTCTTCCACCGGCAGGATGCGCTGTGGATTAGCACGAGCAGCGCGGGCGCCGGGGGCGCCGAGCCCCCCGCCCTGTCCCCGGCTCCGGCCAGTCCGGCCCGCCCCGTCTCCCCCGCTCCCGGCCGCCGCCTCTCCCTTTGGGCCGCCCCTCCGGGGCCCCCGCTCTCCGGGGGGCTGAGCCCTGACCCCAAGCCCGGGGGCGCCCCCACCTCCCGGCGCCCCTTGCTCAGCAGCCCGAGCTGGGGGGGGCCGGAACCTGAAGGCCGGGCTGGCGGCGGCGTCCCAGGCTCGTCCTCCCCGCACCCGGGCACCGGCAGTCGGAGGCTCAAGGTGGCGCCTCCTCCGCCGGCTCCCAAGCCTTGCAAGACCGTGACCACGAGTGGCGCCAAAGCCGGCGGGGGCAAGGGCGCGGGTAGCCGCCTGTCATGGCCCGAAAGCGAAGGCAAGCCCAGGGTCAAGGGGTCAAAGAGCAGCGCGGGGACTGGAGCTTCTGCCGCCGCCGCTACCACCGCCGCCGCGGCCACCGCCGCCGCCGGGGGAGGGGGAGCGGCAGCCACGACCTCTGGTGGGGTCGGGGCTGGGTCCGGAGCCCGAGGGAAGCTGTCCCCTCGGAAAGGCAAGAGTAAGACCTTGGACAACAGTGACTTGCACCCGGGACCGCCTGCTGGTTCTCCTCCTCCGCTAACCCTCCCAGCAACCCCGGCTCCAGCCGCTGCTGTCACCGCCGCCTCCGCGCAGCCCACTGGGCCTGCACCTCCAATCACTCTAGAGCCTCCAGCTCCAGGGCTGAAACGGGGCCGGGAGGGGGGCCGAGCATCCACTCGAGATCGCAAGATGCTCAAGTTTATCAGCGGCATCTTCACCAAGAGCACAGGGGGGCCTCCTGGCTCCGGGCCCCCTCCCGGACCCCCGGGCCTGTCTTCTGGCAGCGGGTCCAGGGAGCTGCTGGGCGCAGAGCTCCGCGCCTCCCCTAGTGAGTAGGACCAGGGCCTGAGAACAGGGAGGGGAGGGCATGTGGAATGCTCAGCTTGGGGTGGAGGAGAGGTGTGCAGGGTTGACCTAAGGAAGCTTCTCTCTTGGGTGGGGGGATGAACCTAATTCACTCCACTTCCAAAGACTAAGGGGTCCTGAAAGGAGGTGGGTAGCTACCTTGTGCGACCTGAGAGATGCCTTGATTTCAGAGGGACTCAGAAAGCCTCAGAGTTTTTTGGGAAAATAATGCCCTTGGTCAGAGTGACTGTAGGAAATCGCTCGCAGAGAAGGCTCAGACCCCACTTCCAGTCTCAGCTGGACTCTGGGAGCGTGGGAACAGAGCTTTGCCTTGCCCGGAGGGATATTGAAGGGGAAGGGAATAAAGCAGCCTCAGTTTCTCTTGAGCGCTTGGGGCAGGTGGCAGGAGAGTGACCTTGCAGGCAGCTGCTCGCCAGGGATAGGTCTTCCCTGGGCTGAGTGAGACCAGGCTAGTGAGGCAGCAGGGAGGGACTCTAGTTTCTTTCCGTGCAGTGAAGGTGGATTGGGCAGTACGGGAGTGCGGGAGTGCGTGGGGGCTGGAACGTGATGAATACTTGAACATGAAGTGAGAGGGGGCGGATGGGAGGCCTCACTTCCCACAGCCCATCCCGTCCCCAGAGCTGCGTTGAAACCCCCAGGGGGCTGCCCTGGAGTGACTCAGGGGGACGGAACTGCTGCAAAGGCAATTTTTACCCCCCAGAGACTTGGGAGGGGGTACCGAGAAGGTACTGGTTTTTTTCGGGGGGAGGGTGTCTTTATTTATTGATTTTTATTTTTATTTTTTTCTGGAAGAAACAGGCTAGGGACTCTTGGTGCGGCTCACACTCCCCGGAGGGGAGGCGGGTTCGGGAGCGGGGGCGGCCCCCGAGGTTTGGCTCTGGAGCGGGTGGGAGCAGATGGCTCCGGATCCCAGAGTTCCCGCCGCAGCTGCGGCGCCCCGGGAACGTCCGGCCAGTGTCAGGCGCGGGGGCTGGACCGGCGGGCGGAAGGAGCATCTTACCCCCGCCCCCAGGCCTGTGGCTTCTCCCGGCCAGGAAACTGAGCCCTTCCCCACACTTCTTTCAGAGGGTGCTTGTGGGGAAGGTGTGGGAGAGGGAAGCATAGACAAATCCAAGTTCCACTGCTCGGGCTGTAGGAAGCGGTCTGGGCCACCATGCTGTTGACCTTGAAAAGGGGGAGGGATATCCCTCAGTTTCTCTCTTGTGAAGTGGAGATTGAGGAAGACCCACTCCCTT